CCCACCCAGCCCCCCCTTGCCAGGGGCAGGGGAAGCGATGCTGAGGCTTCCCCCAACCAGCCACCCCTTGCCAGGGGCAGGGGAAGGGATGCTGAGGCTTCCCCCAACCCGCCACCCCTTGCCAGGGGCAGGGGAAGCGATGCTGAGGCCCTGGGGCCCCTTTCATTTCCATACAGGACACACTGAGGCAAGGGGGTGGGTGCAGGAGTCAAGATGGACCGCTGTATCGTGTACGTTTGTTGGCCGTTTCTTCTGAACCCTCCCCACTCGCGCTAGAGGTGCAGGAGTCAGATGGCCATGTTTTTCAAAACACGGTTTTAAGCCTAGATTCCCCATCATCTTGCAGTGTGTGGACTTAGGTCTCCAAAGCCCATCTGCTCCCAACGCTCAGCTGTGTCTCCACTTCCTACCCAAAGTGGTGGGCTGCCACATTTCACTCCAGAATCAGCTGCGTTCCTGGGAGGAGAGCGCTCTGCAAAACACGCTGAGGGGTCCTGACAAGGATCACTGGCAAAACAGGGTCCTGTACCCCCACTTCTCCCGGGCGAATGCAGCCTTCTTTGGAAAGAAGCAGAATCGCCGCTCCATCCTGCAGAGCATCCTTCTGCACCGCCACTTTGCCCAGCCCAAACTGCTGGTTGGGGGGCGGGGGAGGGCACGCACTCCCCTTGCAGGCCTTTGTGCGGTTTGCATGGCTGCTGTGGGACAGTGGGGGCTTGCCGTGTCCTCAAAGACCTCTGGGAACAATGCTGCTCCGCAGTACATTGTGTTCCCGTACATGAGGACAATGGGAAGCTGTCTCCTGGCTTGGTGGAGCGTCTGCTGGAAGCGGAAGAGGCGGCGTGAGCCATGGGGCTGAGCCCAGCCTCTCGCTGTGCCAGACCACAGAGGAGGGGGGGTTGTGTCCTCATGGGCAGAGTTGTGCCAAGGAGCCCAGCGCCGTTCTCACAGTCCCCGTCAGCCCTTCCTTGGTGAGGAGAAAGAGGCAGCCCTGCAGCCTCAGCAGCAGCACGGCTGGGACATGCTGGAGGAATGTCAGGTGATGGTTCCAGCCATGGAAAGCAGAGGTCATCCTGGAGGTGCAAATCAGCACGACTGCCTTCAATCCAAGGCTGCTTTACACAGCCGGATAACCTACTCCAAAATCCTCCAGCAGCTTCACTGGCAGGGGGGATACCAGGCTGGAGGAAGCGGAACCAAGCCGGGCTGTGTCGCTCAGCACCAGCCCCAGATGCTGCTGCGTTAGAGCAGCCTAAGAGGGAGGAGCAGCAGCAGTGCTGGGAGGTGGGGACCCCTCAGCGCCTGCAGGCACCGCACCCTGCTCCCCAGTTTGGATATACCTCCCATTTGCTCTGACTCGGTGGCCCCTGGCTGGGGGAGCCCCCCTCTCCCCTACACCTCCTGACTCTGTTTTTGGTTCTGTGCACAGGGTCCTCCACCTCCCGCCGCGTTCGCCTGCATTTCCGCTTCACCCGGGAGCTGGCCGGGAGCACCGAGATCCTGCAAGCCACCCTCTACCTGTTCTGGGCAGTCCCCAGCCCCGGGACGCATCCAGTCACCGTCAGACTCTTGCAGCCAGACCCAACGGGGCTGAACATGACCGTGGCCAGCGAGACACGGCTGGAGGTGCAGAGGGCTGGCTGGGCCAGACTGGCCGTTTGTGGCAGCCCAAGCCCGGGCCAGGATGCCCCACCGGATCCAGCGGCGCGGCATTGATTGCAGTGCGGACTCTCGGATGTGCTGCCGCAAGGAATTCTTTGTGGACTTCAAGGAGATCGGCTGGGAGGACTGGATCATCCAGCCGGAGGGATATCACATGAACTACTGCGTGGGGCTCTGCCCCATGCACATGGCTGGCATCCCTGGCCTCGCCGCCTCCTTCCACACGGCTGTCCTCAACCTCATCAAAGCCAACAACGCGGACGCAGCTGTGGACTCGTGCTGTGTGCCCACGCAGCGTCGCCCCCTCTCTCTGCTCTACTATGACCGGGACAGCAACATCATCAAGACCGACATCCCCGACATGATTGTCGATGCCTGTGGTTGCACCTGACCGGCTGCCTGGGGAGGCAGGAGGGCAGGACCTGTGCTGCACAGGGCTCCCCTCCTCCTCGCCCCTCTCTGGCAGTGCGAGACCTGGTGGAACTGCTTAGAGACGGGAACCCTGCCAAGGTGTTTTCTCCTCCTGAGGTTGAAGCATCAAGGGAAATGCTGAATCTGCAAGTCCTCTCCTCCCTCCCCTCCCACACGGCTCTTTTCCCCCTTCAGATCTGCCCATGGATTCCTCTCTGCCCATGAGCCATGGCCTCTGAGACTGGCTCCCGACGGACACCACCAGACCTTTCTACCTGCAGGACTCCACGGAGCACGAGTCCCCGGGCGGCTCAGGGCAGCCCCGGCTTGCCCTGCTGCTGGTCTCAGACCAAGGCCATGGTGCAGTCCCCAGTGCTGCAACACGAACACGTGCTCTTCAGGTAACGGGTCCCCGCAGCAGCCACCTCAGGCTGCTGGGGGAGATGGAAGCTGAAAAGATGCTGGGGGGTGGCTAGGTCAGAGGGGAGAGAGCCGTCCACGGGGCCTCACTCCTCAGCTGGACATGAGGTTGATGGGGGTGAGGAAGGGGAAACTGATCCCAATGGGAGGAAAGTGTCTCCCTCTCCAAGTGTCCCAGCTACCTGGTGTTCAATAAAAGACTCCCAGCTGTAGTCTGCGCACTAGTGTGGATGTGCCCCAGCACAGGCAGCCCCAAGGTGGCACAGAACTGACCCACTCCACCACGTCTTCTAACCAACTACTTGGTTTTAAAACCCAGGCAGGGGGATTGAGCATCCACCACCAGGATGCACTGTGCCCAAAGACTGCAATGCTGCTGGGCCCCACAGCTCTCGTGCTCGCTGCCCCTTGGCTGCCTTTCCGGGGGGGATGCAGAACCCCTGAGTTGTCTCAACCAGATCCAGGGCATGGTATGGGAGCCCCTGGACACAGGAGGCTTGAGATTCCTACTGAGGAAGGCACCATTCCTTGGTTGGGCCAAATTTTCCATCCCCCCGAAACAATCTGTATTTGGCCATTCTTGTCCAGGGCAAAAGTCAGGACAAAACTGAGCAACTCTTCTCCCTTTTAAAGTGGACAGGGACTGCCAGGCGAGACCTCCAAAGCCGCGGTGCCCAGGACACCCACCCTTGCCTACAACCCCATGCCAGCTCCCTCACTGGGGAGCAACCTCTCGTCACGTCTCTGGCCTGCGGCCCAGAGCAGCTACCCCCTTCGCTGCCCCTCGCCAGCCCGGCTGGCAGCGAAGTGGGACATGTCAGTGCCGTGAGAGCCGGGGGCAAAGGGTGGCTCTGACACATCAGCCCCATTGCGTAACCTCGCGTTAGGGTTTCTCCACTGCTTCCCATGTGTCCCCCATGTGTGAGGGCTGAGAAAGCAGGGAGAGGGTGCTGAGGGTGGGAGAGGGTGAGGGTGAGGGTTAGGGTTAGGTTTAGGGTTAGGGTTAGGGTTGAGGTTAGATTTAGGGTTAGGGTTAGGGTTATGGTTACGGTTATGGTTACGGTTACGTTTAGGGAGCTCCTGGGACAATCCCCTGGGGTGCATGCCATTAGGGTTAGGGTTAGGGTTAGGGTTAGGGTTAGGGTTACGGTTACGGTTACGGTTAGGGAGCTCCTGGGACAATCCCCTTGGGTGCATGCAGCTGGCTGGGGTACAGCTGTGTGACTGCAGTCCTGTGGTCCACCATGCAAGCAGTGATGACCCCACTCGAGAGGATGGAGACAGAGCTGAACTAGGTGGGAAGAGGGTCAGCAGAGGAGAGGAGTGTGGTGTCAGCCCCTCTCCCCATCTGGCTTGAAGGATGGCTTTGCATCTGCTGTCCCACTCCAGGATCAGTCCAGGGTGGTTGGAGCCACGAGCAGCTCTGGCTGGAGTGGGGGCCAGGATGCATTTGCCCTGGAGGGCCTGTGACACCTTGAGTAGGGATGGGACAACCACTAGCAGGAGACAGTGTTTGAC